GGATGTTCCCACATCACGCTGGGCTCCATGTCTCCATGGAGTTGGTTTTCCTCCAAATGAGGTCTTCTTTGGGGATCCCCTTTAAGTATTGATGAGGCTATTGCTCTCCTGACTCCTGGCAGTTTGGGTTGTGTCCCCATCACCATCCAGGGCTATCTCTGGAGACGAGACAGGTGTGCACAAGTTTTAGGAGGGGGCCAGTCTGCAGCCCATTGGAGCCAGGACTTCTGCGGGCTGCCCCCGCACCCAGGCCAGCACCCTGTCTTGGGGCCTGCCCAGCTGCCGTGCTAGCAGCAGGGTGGCAATTCTTTAATTAGACCAAGCAGGGTTTTCTCGGCCGGGGGTGGGAGGAGGTGTGTGGGTCTATTGGGGGAAACTAGGTCACCTGAAAACCAGTAGTCAAGAGGGAGCTGTCCTGGAGCCCCAGCTCTAGGGAACCCAGAAGGGCGAGGCAGGAGGGGCTAGCAGGGATAGCAAAGTCAGAGGAAATGTGCTCTGGCCCCTTTTATTGGCCCTTGGGAGGCATTGTCCTCACCTTTCTCCAGGGGGCTGGGCAACTGCCCTTAATTTCTTCACTGCAGCAAACTGCCCAAGCCAGGAGGGCATTGCAGTGAGTGCCATCTGTCTTCCTGGGGCTTGCCACTGTGGGGCCCAGGGAGGGAGCACTACATTGGGAGTTAGGCCCAAGGTTCAAGGTATTGCTCAGGCTCTGTATCTTTGGAGCATGTCACCCACTCCCTTGTGCCTCTGTTTTGCCATCCATCCAATGGGTCTATTTGACCCTGCTGTATTCCTAACCCTTAGCACAATCCTAGCATGTGGTAGATGTCCAATAACTATTTGTCAGATGAAATAATGAGCTCATACAAGTGCTTCTCTTATAAGATTGTCATCCATGAGGATCAATGGCCAGGTAGGTTTCCCAAATGTCAGTCACTTATGATTTTTGCCAACACTAAATACCATCACCATTTAATTTTTTCTTTTCTACCACCTTGCTAGCTTTCCACTAGTTGATTTATTCAAAAAGGAAAATTTATATCATTGCCATAAATAAACAGTAACTGTGATAACAAATCCACAGAAAACACAACAATGATATTAAATTCTACCCTGGATGCAATCGATTGCTCTAGGCCATGAGCCTAAGGCCTGCTTTCTCTTTGTTTACAAGGGGAGTTTGGCATGGTTATAATGATTATAACATTGGCATGGTTAGTACTAAACTGACACTTTCTCCTGGAGAAAATCTGATTAAAAAAAGAAACAAAAAGCATTTACTTGCTCTCTCTGTCCATGCTACGTTAAGCTTTGTCCTGTACTTCTGAAAATTCCTTTGGAGTTGATTCTCTGTCTACACTTAGGGAAACACTTGGCTGAGATGATGGCTGGGGAAATTCTCGGAAAGGGATTAAGAGCTTTAACAGCGTAAGTCATTGGTATGATTATTCTTATCTTCAATCTTAACATGTTTTTGGTGCCTCCCACTTAGCAGGTGATTGGTAAATACTCAATAATGAAGAAATAAGTAACTGTCTCTTAACGCCGAGAGAGATCTTATAGAATGGTTAGGTCAATCTGATATAGTGGACATTTTATTGTTTGTGATGGTGGAGAGTTTGCCACCTCCTGAGACAGCCGCTGGACTGTAAACACCTTGTTGAACAGCTTGTTGGACAGCTCTGAAGGCTGGTGTCTGTTCCTTGAGTACATACAACTGCTCCCCTATACCTTGGTCTTGTTCAGCACTGGGGAGACTCACAGACTATCTTCTCCTTTTTGTGCAGATTGAATCTCTGGATATTTTCAGATTGCTGTCTCATTCTGCCTAAGACAGGACTTTCAAACTCAAATGACCATAGGAGCTAGCATGTGATGTTAATTAGTGAAGGAGGTCAGGTGGGAGCAATGGCAGGTAGAGGGACTATGGCAAATTAGAGGGTATGTGCCCCACATGAAAGGGACAGTCCCACTCTGCATCTGCTGATTATTGCCATGTAAGCCCAGCATGGCCAGGTACTGAGGTGGTCTAAGAAAAGCTGAAAACCTGACTAGGGATATAAAATCTCTAAGTTTTCAATGTTAGCAATGAATTACAATGTTATAAAACATGGTGTGGACTTTCTGGCCAGGTCTGGCCCACAGCCACAGTTGCTCACCACTACCCGCCCAGACTTCTGCTTCTTTGGGCTGGGCAGCCCTGTCCTCTTTAAGCCATGTTCGTGTATGTTGAGTTCCAGAATTCCTCTCCATGCCTTTGAACATCGGCAAGCTCCCTCTCAGGCTGTGTCTGTTCCTGTTACCTGGTGAACTCCTACTCGATCTTTGGGATTATCAGTTGTCCTCTACTCTGGGCAGCCTTTCCTGTTAACCCCAGGTAGATTGTTTCTTCCATTTTTTTTTTTTTTTTTAGCCGTGTGATATTGGGTAAGTTTCTTAATCTCCCTGTGCCGCAGTTTCCTTATCTGTGAAATGGGCATGATAATAGTATCTACCTCTTTAGCTTGTCAGGAGGATTAAATGAAAATATAGACAGACAGACAGACAGACAGGGACTTCCTGGAAGGCAGAGTTGGTCTTTGATCTATTTCCAAATCAGGGCTTGTCACAGAGCAGGTTGATATTGGGTAAGTTTCTTAATCTCCCTGTGCCGCAGTTTCCTTATCTGTGAAATGGGCATGATAATAGTATCTACCTCTTTAGCTTGTCAGGAGGATTAAATGAATTTATAGACAGACAGACAGACAGACAGGGACTTCCTGGAAGGCAGAGTTGGTCTTTGATCTATTTCCAAATCAGGGCTTGTCACAGAGCAGGTGTCCATTAGATGTTTGATCACTCTCAGTAAGAGGGTAAAGTAAACATATATCCCACTAGCTCCCATTATGAGGTCTGACCATCATGATGATAGAGAACAGTTCAAGCGTTTCTTATAAAACTAAACATGTAATTATTGTACAAGCCAATGGTTGTACTCTTGGGCATCTACTCTAGAGAAATGAAAACTTTATGTTTACACAAAAACCTGTACATGAGTGTAATAGCCCCAAACTGGAAACAACTCAGGTGTTCTTCACTGGGTAAACAGTTAAGCAAATGGGCATGCTCATGAAATGGAATACTACTCAGCAACAAAAATGGAATGAACTATTGATATAGGCAACGACTTGGATGAATCTTAAGAGGATCATGCAGAGTGAAAAAAACCAATCCCCAAAGGTTACTTACTGTCTGATTCTATTTATATAACATTTTGAAGTGATAACATTCTAGAGATGGGTGATTGCCAAGGGCAAAGATAGTAGTGCTTTGGGAGAGTGGTTTTAGGGATCCTTGTGTGTTGGAACTGTTTGTATCTTGACTGTGGTGGTGGATACACAAACGTACCCATGTAATGAAATTGCATAAAACCACACACTCTCTCTCTCTCTCACACACACACACACACACACACACACACGCACACACACACACGCACACACACACCCACACACACACACCCCTACATGAGTAGATGTCAAACTGGGGAAATCTAAATAAGACTGAGAGATTGCGTCAATGTCAGGTTCCAGGTTGTAATATTACACTATGGTAACATTTGCAAAATGTTACCATTGGGATAAATTAGGTAAAAGGTACATGACATCTCTCTGTTACTTGTTACAACTGCATGTGAATCTACAATGAGCTTAAAATAAAAAGTTTAATTAATTAATTAAAAATCATTTTAAGATATTCAAAAGAAGAGAATATAAAACAAAAGG